CTCATTAGTATGTGTGTACTGATACATGACTGTGTTACAACTCTAGTTTCTTCAGTGGTGGGTGGTTGTTCCATGATCACAGTGTCTGTACTGATACATTTGTATACAGAAGAATCGTGCCAGCAACCAAGCAGTGATACAATGTTGTGACTCCAGTAGCTTATAGAGATGTTGGAAAACTTGAAATTCAGTACAATGCTTTGGGTTTAGGTGCTCCGATAATATTACATGACAATAACTCTACACCAGTTAGAGGTGAATTACATTAGCACGTAATACTGTCTGGGGTACAGTATGTCCCATTATTCATCTCAGTAATATGTCAAGTTCAGACGGTCCTTTTCTTGCTGCTAGTGAACCACTAAATGTCCATGTCTTGGCTTGTTCGATGGTCCTGCGCACAATTTGTGCACATTGAAATATAACTTGCACCTCTTCAATGCCATTCTTGTGTGCTGCAGCATCTACTGCTGCAACTTGTGCTGCTCTTGAGTGAATCATTGTCGACCAAGACCTAACTTTTGGACGTGTGAATTCTACATTCTCTGTTTCTATGGCAGCCATTTTGAATTTTTACTGCCATTTTTAGTTATATCTCATCAATGTAAATTGACATAGTATTGAAGTAGAACTGAAAAAACATAAATTATTACGAAGAAAGGTGGTAAAATAATGAGCAATATGTGTTTTTTATGTCAAATTCAAAATGGCTGCCACAAATCCAAGATGGCGTCCAAAAAAATGTAAATCATATTTTTTTATAATTTTATGATGTACTAAATGCAAAAAAATTGTTTTGCAAGATTCTACCCAAATTTTTCACGGGATTTGTTATTGTGACACAAGGGTATGCACTAACAGTTGCAAAGGTGGATTCTCAAAGACTCAATATGTAAATGCCAGGCACCATTCACATTCCTTTTATTCTATTGCATCTACACTCACAATACATAACATGCACGCACACACACCCCCACCCACTCACTCCCTCTCACGGCCTTCAGTTGTATCAAGCTTGTTAGGGGGGGTTGTATTAGAGATCTAGAATTGTGTACAAAATGACAATTTTCATCAGTCAATCAAAATAACAGTCAGTTGGCCATCTTGGATGAGTTGTGGTGAAAATCAAATTGCATCTTTGCAACACACAGACTCTGCGCCAAATAGGAATATCCTTGGTGATCTTAGTCTACACCTCACTTCAACCATGAATAACACACTATCGTCAATCTTTTATGACTTCCAACTCCAACAATCAATACAAGATATTTTTGCATAGGTCAGAGCTAATCAATATAATTGAGGAAGTTGGCTACCATTTATACAAATGGTTGAAATTCCTTGATGTTCACACTGTGGTTTATTAGTTTATGTTGTTGTTCACAAGTTCCAGAAATATACAGTTGGCAAACTCATTTTTTGGACAAAACATAGGTCAAATAACCATTAAAATTTTTTAGCCATTACAATGTTCTCCCAAAGTTATAAATTTTGTTTGGTTACATAGGCTGTAGTTATCAAGAAGGGTTGACATTCTCATAATTACTACAGGTATTCATAATTGGTTTGCCTTTATTATTTAGGTTGAATACCTGTGATCAACCTTAATCCAATGATTGATAAGATACAGGTGAAGTTCAATTCCTAGGATCATATTAACTTGGTAATTTTTTGAGTTGTTCACTTTTTTTCGCTGAATATCATACTTTTATACTCTCAACTTTAAAATGAATATTCAACACTGTAACTACATTGTGAATTACGAGAAAATTTGCTCTGTTTTTATGAACGCCAACTACCATAAGCTCAAGACTGAGATGCGTTTAGATTATTACAGTAAAAGTTGTTAAAAAGATTGAATAGAGAGACGACACAGGTGGTATATTATTTCAGAATGCTAGATTCCAGCATGTTTTAATGTCTCTGAAAGCAGTGACACAGCCTCTGGTCTACGGCCTTCATTATTTACAGTTCTCACCATAGAGAAGAGGAGCATCACCACAATCTGCACACATACTCACTATATCCAGTACAACTGTGCTGTACAAAAATAAGGCCAGGCATTAAAGTCAGTGCAGTATGTATACCAGTAAAAGATCTCTCACAGTTGTCTGGACCATTTTTGTTTACATTTTTTCAACGTTTTTATGAAAAATGAGGAAAAACTGAAAAACAAAATAAGAATCAAAAAATTGTGTTTCATACATAATTCTGTTATCATAATCTTGGCAACTGTCCTAAGGCATGGCTATAACAACTAAAAACATATTCTGACCTCAGGTTTTTTTCCACATCTTTACATTTCTGGAATCTAGAAAGTCTGTAAAATAGGTTTGGTGATAAAATACACCATGACAACATCTCTTTATAATCACAAGTTTTACAAAGGGAAGAATTTTGGGAAAGAAATAAAATAAAACAATGTTCATTGGTTGAAAGCTGCTCCTAAGAGTAACAACTCTCAACTGCATGATGAGAGTTCTCCCAGAGGATGATGGGTAAAAACAGGAAATTGTATTTGTAACAGCTATAGATCTCGGTCTTCAAGATATCGATATTCAAATGTAAAACCTTCTTTCTTTCTTTGTCCCCATTTTTCATAATCAAAATAGATATACGTTCCCTGGGAAAAAAAATAGAAAGACAACATTGAGACTAGGCAAGTGACTAATTGCAGAAGAGAATAAATGCGTTATATTTCTCAGTAGTTTGAGTACTGCTAAGCATGTACAGAGACAGGTCATGTCAAATGATGTGTAGAAAAGTTTGCTGCCATCACATAGCCAGAGAGTTTATTTTGCAAGCTTCATCAATGATACACTTCAATATTACAGTGGCTTATAATGTCTGCTGACATCTCAGTGTACTAGCCCTTTACTGTCAATGCAAACAAGTCATGATTTAACACACTTCCTGCACATATTTATTAAAAAGGAATGTATGTGCCCACATGTCCTATGGTATGTGTATGCAAATGAAATTGCTGGACTTCAACTTCACAGAACTACCTTCCCCTTTTTCAAAGCAAAATATAATTGTCAATTGACATCAACAAAACTCCCTGGAAAACAAGGCAATTGTGCTTGATGCCTCTGTAAAATTTTGAATTGGTTGAGGCATTTAGCAAATACTGGGTAAGTAAATAAATTGGTGCATTGTCCAAACAATAATGTGCAGCATTATATATTTTATACAGGGAAAACTTGAACACAATTGTGATGCAGGTTTACATGTACTACTTGCAACAGAAGTAGAAAAGTGTGAATATTAATGTTACTAAGCATTTACTTTGTAACACCTTTGTATGAAACTAGTATTAAAGGAAAGACAGAACTAGAATGGCTTCTCACCTGTTCGTACTCGTCTGTTATTGTTTTAGGTTCTTCGTGCCGTTGAAACCACATCATGTACTTTGTATGGAATCTCCATGATTGCTTCTTCAATGCTTTGGCTGCTAAATACTGTGCTTTGGTTCCCTATGAATAAATAGAAAAACATACTCAACAGTGCACATGCAGCAGAA